CAAGGCCAACAAGGTTGTTATGACTCTAAGAATTTGACGCATGGCTCGTGAGAGCATTGTGTTGAATTAGACTCTTTAGCCTAATTCGCACTTAAGTTACTTCAGGAGCTGTCATAGTTGATAGCTTATTCTCTCCTTCTTGTGGATAGTAGAATTAATTGCAAGTAACTATGAAGCGAGAAATAGATATGGCAAGAGGAGTATCGTCATCTTTCAACTAGATGCAGTAAAGTGTATGAAGAATAAAATTGACTTGAAGGTGCAGGGGATTAGCACTTACTAGCTAAATTTTCCACTTAGGCGCACTTGATATCTCCATGACATCCTTTTATGATCTAGTGAATATGAATTAGTCGTGAGTTATTACCTAGTTGGGCCTAAACCTTTAAAACTTGTCTTCAAGAATTCACACATTAGGATGATTGGAATTAGTTTATGACATAGGTCATGAGCCGGTGGCTTATTATACTTAATCACATTAATGAGATGATGACAGGGTGGTTTGAGTAGGCCCTCTCGGGCCCACTCACTTGTGACATCATGCTCTCATGTGAATGTATAACTTTGTTCGCAATGGTTGCGCACAAGTAAGTAGGAAAGCCGTAGAAGGTCATTTGTATTAGCGCATTTAGTCCACCATGATATTTGTGACTAGACATGTGTAAGGGTATGATAGCCAAGCCTCAATCTCGACACATTTATAGATTACCATACGCATCTGATTCAAGACTATTTGATCTCCTATAAGTCAAAAGTTTTGAGATGATTTTTGACATTGCACATATGAGGTTGAGATCAATTAGATAACAACTTTCGTGCTTTTAGTTTTGACCAAGGTGGCGTGTATCTATTTGAGTTATTTTAGAAAAACTCTGTGAAGAGAAATGGATGCTTAGAAAATTGATTATTCCTAATACTCAACAACACAATGGTGTAGTAGAGATAAGGAATTAAGTATTGTTAATGTTAGGTGGATGATGGCACAAAATGTTTCCCAATTGGGAATTGCACTTTAGTTTGTTGCCTATATCCCTGACTAAATGCCCTCCATATCAAATTTTACACCCCATTTATGTAATGGGTTAGTGGAGAGCCATCTATGGGCGATCTGTAACCGTTAAGCAGCTTATCTTTATTTTTACTTCTCATAAGGTTAGAGCCATCTATGGGCGATTTGTAACCGTTAAGCGGCTTATCTTTATTTTACTTCTCATAAGATTGTGAAGTTAAGACCTAGGGTTCTATAGCGCATTATTGTATGCTGTCTTGTAAACACAAAGGGTCGTGTGGCGCATTATTGTATGCGGTCATGCAAACCCTCCGGGTCATGTGCATATAGGTAAGCAGCTTTGTGGTAGTGTAACTAAGTCACATAAAGTTTTATTAGTAAAGGTGACGTGAATAGAGTTTTTGGAACTCTATAAGATAGAGAATTCTAAGCATAGTGCTCTATGTAGCCTAGTTGAGAATGGAAAGAAATTTCCAATATCTTAGGGACAGTGGGAGCAATATGCCTACTAATGGATTACTCCATTAGAGAAGAATACTCTACATTCTTAGTTGCATGGTAGCGAATGTGAAAATTTTCCACGTCATCATTGGGTGATTGAGAAGGAAACATTCATGATTGCTCTGCAAGATGATAAAGACCCTAGGATAATGCCAAAGGCTCTAGTCCCTTGTTTTTAGAAAGTGGATCAATGTTGCGCAGTTTAAGACAAAGTCTTTGAGGATTAACCATTTCTATAATTTTGTTGACTTTCCATTATGACACGAAACTGTTCTAAGGTTATGCGCAATTTGGATAGTCATTGTTGAGGCATAAGGCTCGCTAGATACCGAAAACTCGTACCATTGAGAAAAGTGTAGACCATGAGAAGACTTCCTCCTGGGGAGTGAGGTTATTTCGACTTAGGCTATGATTGACATAAGTTCGGAACATTGATTTGTGGACATTGTGACCCAACTTTCTCGTTAGAGAATTAGATAAGTAGATCCGTAGAGATTTACCTTCTGTTTTTATGGTGAAAAGTTAGGAGCGCAAAAAGGTTGCTAGTTCCAATATATCTTTTACAGCCTAAGACAGTTATCCAAATAGTGGTTCTTAGATTTCGTCAAGCCATGATAGGCCAACGATGATCGATGAAGACCACTGAGGCAAGATCAATGGTCTCAAAGAAGTTTTTCCTTACTTAGTCATTATGAGCTAGGAGTTTATAAGGTTGTCGCCACCTAGGGTGGGCAGTCCTTTATTTTAGATATGATGGACATAGGTGATGTAATTTATATGCTCGGATGTACAATCCTAAGGGATTGTTTTGGGAAAATTCTCAGTTTGTCTTCGATGACTTACATAAGGAATATCCTAGAATGATTCTAGATGCAAAATTGCAAACCCATTGACTTAACTCTCGGTAAAAGTCAGAGCCTTAGCTATTGAGTGTATCCTCGGATTGTCTTTGGGAGAAACAGATGACCTATATTCCTTGATCTTTTCTTTATTGTGGGACCTAAAGTACGCTTTGTGGGCATATTCGGCATGATAAGTGTTATCTTTGGTAAATGGTCAACTGAGTTGTTTAGACATTGACGTTGCTCATTAGACTGTGGATAGAATGCTTTACTAGTAGTATATTAATTTGCTCCTTGTAAGATTCAATGCGCTAGTTGAGCGCATCCAGAATGAACGCAAATCGGTCACCAAAATATCTTTAGAGAGGTTATTGCGCAAGAGGTAGTGATCTTGAATCACTTCATGTGAGGCGCACATGGTGGATTCCGTTGTATATACTTATCGCAAGAGGTGCTGATAAGGCTTATGTTTGGAATCTAGAATTGTGATCTTGAATCACTTCATGTGAGGTGCACATGGTGGATTTCGTTGTGTATACTTATCACAAGAGGTGCTGATAAGGCTTATGTTTGGAATCTAGAATTGCGCAAGCTGTGGTTATATTTTTTTTTTTTTTTAAATCAATCACTTATTTGTTATGAGATGATGGGATGTTGACACTATTATGGTTTGTGTCATAATGATTAGCAGATGATGATGCCAGCAAGCAAGATTGGCTCACTCACATGAGCAATCACTTTTGGCGCTTGGGAGCGAGCAAGGATGAGACTAGTGGTTTATTTTTATTTGGAGTCGAGAGAGGCTTAAATTATCCATTATGCATGTCACCTTGGTTACAACCAAGATGAGATCGTGTTAAGGACCAAACATGGATGTTAGTACCCACTTTCCATGTTGTGCCTGTTATGATTAGCCAGATGCGAGATCTCATTTGGCACCTGGAAGGCTAGCAAATAGAGAATTCGGGTTAGGCGCTAGAAAGCGACTAGACTAATATCTGTACGGTGTATCCAGTATGACGTCACTCTTTTGGAAGAGTTATTCCACCATAACATGTATTCATACTACATATGATTGGCGACCGAGTAATGAGGTGAGAGAATGGATCCCGGTTTCCTCACCGTGTGAGTCTTATGTGTCACTATTGATATGACTTTCATTTAGTACCCTTTTGTGACTTTTGACTATGTCATAAGGTATGGGGTTGATGTTCTGCTACTTTGGTATGTTGCCCGCGGTCATGTATGATTCGGCCTTAAGGGACATCACTGGGAAAGCGGTCAATCCTAAACTAAATGGCATGAGGGCAAAGGGAAGATCATCTAGTATTACACCACTATTATATATTCACTGCCGGCAACTTACATCGCTTTGTATGAGAGGCGGATTGAGTGTGAATATATTGCAAGAATTGAGAGGGTCAAACATGCTCTTTTTGAGGGATTAGAGATGTTTTTTGGACTGGTGTAATTAGATGGGTCTAGGGTATATGAGACACTATTTCTATTCTTTTTTGCGTTGATGTCTCTATGCTGGCTCATTTTGAGTTTCTAGTATAGAGCTCCCACATGCAGGTGTTCTCAACAGTCGCACGGTGCATTGGCTAGTATGAGATTGTTCATTTTTAGGGAGATTGAGATAGAGATGTGGCAGTGTCATGCCAGCTCATGTGCGAGTGAGAGATGTTAGAAATTGGGCACCCATATGGCATGACCCTTTGAACCTTTTGAACCTGAACCTGTTGAACCTTATCCATGTAAGTTTGAATTTGAATTCAAAACTTATTTGGATAACCATTCAGGATATCTATATCTATTATATCAATAGATATGGATAGATGGATAGATAGATATTGGTTATATATTTTAGATAATATATAGATATATCAGATACGTATATCGGATACGTTAAGGGGTTTTTACACATAACCTTTTTTCCCAGACTTTCTCTCTGACTCTCTCCCACAAAACAACGATCAAACCATTTTGCATTGTGACTTGTGTGGGTGATACTCATTTTGTAGTATCACTCCATTGCTGGGTTTGTTGTTCAGATTTTGCAAGCACGTGATTTACCCACGAGGTTCTTCGCTAAAAGGTATGATTCTGATATTTTATCCGCTGCGTCATAATACTTTATGATTTACAATTCACTTTTCATGGCTGGCGTATGTGCATTGTGTATAATTGATGTATTAATGGCACGCCATATACACGTCGTAGAAAGTTTTATTATTTACGGCATGCATTGCAAGCCGTAAAAAAATTATCGTTATTATCATTCATGGCCTACGCAATAGACACGCCGTGGTTGGAAAAGTATTTACGACATGCGAAAAAAACAAGTCGTAAAAGTGAGAAACTACGGCGTGCATTTATGGAATGCCATTGATGTGGTGCCGTAAAAAATCAGTTTTGTTGTAGTGCCTGCACCTCCACCAAGAATAGAATCTGAATCCACTGAAGGTATCAAGAGCTTTGAATCTAGAAGACGAATCATAAACGAAGTCGTGCAACCACTGAAGGATGATAGATTCCACATGATTGGGATATGTGGGATGGGAGGTGTTGGTAAGACAGCAATGGTGAAACAAGTTGCCAAAAGAGTGAAAAAAGAGAAATCAAGTGCGGTGTGAGGTGCTGGTAAGATGCCGATGGTCAAAGAAGTGACCAAAAGTGCGAATGAAGAGCAATTGTTCGATGAGGTTGTCATAGCTGTAGTGAGCCCTGATGAAAAAAAGATTCAAGTTGAAATTGCAGATAAATTGGGTTTGAAATTTGAGGAAGAGAGTGTATCTGGAAGAGCAGATCGGCTGCGTGAAAGTCTACGGAGCAAGACTCATATTGGATGATGTTTGGAAGAGACTTGAACTGAATGACATAGGAATTCCATATGGAGATGGTCACGGCGGTTGTAAGATTTTACTGATTTCGAGATTTGTTTATGTATGTGATGATATGGGAGCTAAAAAGAAATTTACAGTTGAAGCCTTAGACAAAGAAGAAGCATGGAATCTCTTCAAGGAGATGGCTGGAATTTCCAATGACACGAGTTCTAAATTCTATTCCACACAGAAGGCAGTTGCAGATGAATATGGAGGCTTGCCTGTTGCTATTAAGATAGTCGCGAGGGCACTCAAAGGTAAAGGAGAGCCTTCATGGGATTCTGCTCTTGGTCAATTACAGAGGTCCATCATCAAAAGCATCAGGGGAGTAGAAGACCAGATATTTAAATCTCTGGAGTTGAGTTACAATTCCTTAGAAAGTAAGGAAGCCCAAAAAGTATTTTTGTTTTGTTCCCTATACCCAGAAGATTTTGATATTCCAATTATGATATGGGAGCTAAAAAGAAATTTATCGTTGAAGCCTTAGACAAAGAAGAAGCATGGAATCTCTTCAAGGAGATGGCTGGAATTTCCAATGACACGAGTTCTAAATTCTATTCCACATAGAAGGCAGTTGCAGATGAATGTGGAGGCTTGCCTGTTGCTATTAAGATAGTCGCGAGGGCACTCAAAGGTAAAGGAGAGCCTTCATGGGATTCGGCTCTTGGTCAATTACAGAGGTCCATCATCAAAAGCATCAGGGGAGTAGAAGACCAGGTATTTAAATCTCTAGAGTTGAGTTACAATTCCTTAGAAAGTAAGGAAGCCCAAAAAGTATTTTTGTTTTGTTCCATTTTCCTAGAAGATTTTGATATTCCAATTGAAGATCTTGTTAGATATGGGATTAGGCATGAATCATTTAAAGGCATTGATACAGTGGGTGAGGCAAGACAAAAAGTTCATGACTTTGTTGATGACCTTAAAAATTACTATTTATTTGATGGATAGTGAAGAAAATGAGTGTGTCAAAATGCATGATGTTATAGGTAATGTGGCTATATCTATTGCATTCGGGGAAGAGCTTTTGTTTATGGTGAGATATGACAAAGCATTGGAAGACTAGCCACAGAAACATCCCCTCAAAAATTACATTGTAATTTCATTAAAACTTAATGGTATGCACGGGCTTCCTGGTAATTTAGAATTTCCAAAACTCTTGCTTTTGAAGCTAGATTGCAATGCTGATCTCAACAATGAGATGGAGGAAGTCTAAGTACAAGAGACCCTAGATTGTTTCTACCAAGGGATAAAAAAACTCATAGTGCTAGCTTTATCTAATATGTATGGATCGTTGCCGACATCACTCCGATGCTTGACCAACCTCCGAACCTTGTCACTTTCTCGTTGCCCACTTACTGATGATGATGTCTCTATAATCGGAGCATTAGAGAATCTAGAAATGTTGAGTTTTGCTAGCTCTCGTATCAAGGAATTGCCAAAAGAAATAATAGGTCACCTTGGTCGCTTGAAGGTACTTGATTTGTTGAATTGTATAGTGGAAAAGATTTACCCAGGGGTTTTGTCAAGCTTATCAATGCTAGAAGAGTTGTATGTTGGGAATAGCTTTCAAACAATGGATGGACTGCAAAAAAGAACAGAAATGACTAATGCAATCATCATTGAGGTGGCAATCTTGTCCCATTTGGTGGCTTTGGATATTGTATTATTTATCTTGCCAAGAGATTGGGTCATTGACAAGGTGAACAGGTTCAATATAACAGTTTGCCCGTCATCTGGTTACAACGTGACCCAAACTGATTATCGGTTACCGAATAGGTTGGAACTCCGGTCAATGGATGTGACTGATCTTAGGGATAGTAGTAGCCTCAAGAGGCTATTGCAGAGCACTAAAAATCTGGAGTTAGATTCAGTTAAGGGTTTGAAGAATATTCTGAGTGATTTAGGCGAATATAGTTTCTAGCACTTGACGAAGTTGACACTACAGAAATGTGATGATTTGGAATACCTTATCAACACACCACATGGTGAGGTTTTGCTGATTGCATTCCCTTTCCCTGTGTTAGAGTCTTTGGAACTCATTGCACTAGATAATTTCAAAGGGATTATTTGCCAACTACTAGATTTTTTGCCTGAAGTAACACAATTGTTGATGGGTCCTACTCCACTTAAATGGTTTGGCAACTTGAAATTTATATATTTTTGGAAATGTGCTAAAATGGAAAATGTGTTCTCACTTTTCATTGCTAGGAATCTCATGCATCTGGAGACTATTGAGATATTCAAATGTCATCTGATGGAAGTGATTGTTTCAAATGAAGAAGGAGAGCATGAGATAGCAGCAGTGGCAACAAATAAAATTGAGTTTCCTAAACTAAAATTTTTGGGTCTATTGGAACTGCCAAGTTCTACAGCATTCTGCAAAGCCATGAATGCAATTGAACTACCACAATTGGAGTATTTGTTTCTCCATAAAATACCAAAGCTTAGTAGTCTCTGCCCTGCTTCTGCTGTAGAGAGTAATTGTGATGCCTACATTCAGCCGCTCTTTGACGACAAGGTATGATTTCTTTCTTTGATTTAAGAGCACCTCATATATTTCTTATTTTCAGTGGAACTTTTGGGCTATATAAATGTGTTTCCTTGATTTTCTGCATAAATGCATTTGTTGTATCAATATTTGTATATATTGGATTGAATATGTTTGGATGTAAAAATAAGAACATGAAACTTAAACTGAAATTACTAGTATCCAGGAACAAATGATCGTTTTCATGTGTTGTATTTCTATTCACTAAAAAATTAGTTGAAGTTCGGGTTATGATTTTGTGAACTTTGACAAAATTATTTAAAACATTAGGGTTATATTTGGATAGAAGAATTTGAAATGAAGAAATTTAAGATTAAGATAATATGTATATATATGATGCTTAATTATTAATACTGTATTAAAAAGCTTTGGCTATGTTTTGATCATTAATTTGGGTAGAATTTCTAGAGGAAAAAGAAAAAAAAAATGTGAATGAAATATAATTTTTTTATTCTCACATTTCCCTCAACCCCCTTCCCCCTTTTTCGTCCACATATTTCTACTCAAATACCCCATTTGATAAGACTTAAGGCTTGGTTTGATTTGGTTTGTTTATATTTCTACTCAAATCCATTATCCAACACCGTGTTTGAATCATGGATTTAGATAGGAATTTGAAAAGGGAAAGGGAAATGGAGAAAAAAAATTAGTTTACGTTTCATTGACATTTTTCTCACATTTTCTCTTTCTCTTTCCAAATCTCTGCCAAATTTACGATCCAAATCCAAACTAAAGGAGAGGTTAGAGTAGAGGTGGCAAAGATATTTTTACAAGGATCATTGTTTTACTAGAATTCTACCTGGTAGAATTTAAAGTCATTCTTATAAAACATTGAAATCATTATAAATGAATAATGAAGGTTGTGTTTTTATTTATAGATTGAATTGAATGGATTTCAGTTCAAAGAATTGATAATGCTTTTTTTTTTTTTCCCCCATTGTGGAACTTTGTTGTAGTGTTCATTTCTCCCCTATTTGATGATGTTTTTTAGGTTGTTTGGTTGTTGTGCTGGTTGTTCTTTTTTATTATAAGAACCTCTTTGTTAGCTTATTGTTAGACTTCTATAGTTGTTCTCTTCCTATTGCAATTGCTCTTCTACCAATTAAAAAATCAACGTTCAATTAGTTCATAATAATGTGTGTTTGGGAGGGAAAAGATTAAGTATACACATAACCTTTGACATAATGCACAAAGGGATTGTCTTGATACTTGAGCCCATAACCTCAAGGTTATTAGGCTAAGGTCTTAACATTGGACCAATCTTTAAAAAAGACAATTAAAATTAATGTTTGGGAAAGCGATTGACTTGGTGGGATGAAAATTTTAATCTTGGGACATCCCCTCTAATAATTTCATTTACATTTTTTTTGAATTTCTTGCACTCTGTTCTAAAATTCATCTAACTCCAATTTTTTCAATCCCAAAATCCTAAGCCATTCTTCAATTTGTTTAAATCTCACAAGTACATATTTTAGATGAAAACCATTAAAAAATTAACCACAGACTTCTTTGTTTGATTTTTCAGGTGGTGTCCTTAATAACATGTACACACAAACAAATGCACAATCGATTTTCAATTTGTTTTCTTGATCAGTCTTATGTCAACTTGATGACATTTGAGTTTAGTACAAATTTCTACCATCTAAATTTGAAATTCCTATGGTTATTATCTAGTTTCTTAAAACACTTTTAAAACTTTAAGGAATGTATAGCTAAATTTGAATGTTCAATATTTTTAAGAATTGTTTTAACTTTAATTATTCAACTTCAAAGTGATCTTTATTTAATGGATGGCATTAAATGAAAATAAAGTATGGCATTAACCTTGTGATTGGACTCTGCAGGTTAATTTGACTTCCCTTGAGGGAATGAATGTCGTTGCAATGGATAACCTGATAGAGATATGGCCCGGCGAACTTCAAGCTAAACTAAGAGTGATGACAGTTTGGATGTGTCATGGGTTGCCGAATATTCTTTTTCCATTCAATTTGGTGAACGCAATGCAAAGTCTTGAAATACTTGTAGTGCAGGATTGCCAATCTGTGGAAGTAGCATTCGGTATTGAAGGACTAATTGTTAGGGAAGGCCATCAAGATATACTATTCCCTTCATTAATATATGTGCGCCTTAGGCATCTACCAAAGTTGACACATGTTTGGAAAGGCAATTTATTAGGAATTCAAGGCTTCGAGAACCTAACATCCCTAAACATAAAGGGTTGTGGCAGTTTGAGATATGTATTTTCATCTTCCATATCCAAACTTCTTGTGAAACTACAAGAAATAGAGGTAACTGAATGTCGTGTGATGGAAGTGATCATTGATAAGGAACCAAAAGTACATGATGAAGTCGCAACAAATATTCTTATGTTCCCTCAACTAAATACTCTCAAACTCCAGGATCTGCCGAACCTTAGGAGTTTTTGCCTCCAAGCTTACACGTTTGAAAGATCATTGTTGAAGACCGTGGAAGTAATCAATTGCCCCAACATGAAGGCCCTCCCTTCAGCATTCAAGCACGTACATGAGCCGTAGACGAGCAATCTTCAAAAAGAAAACTTTTTAACCTCAACTCAACACCATCTCTTGGATGGAAAGGTAAATTTGTTATCTTACAATTATAGTATTCACCATTAACATTCCATTCTTTCAAAGAAAATGTTTCCAACATTCATTAAACTAAGGATAAACCTCTATACGTTTGAAGTTAAAAGAATTGTTGAGTAAACAAAATCATAGAAAGTAAACTCTTTGGTCTCGTTTGGGAATTTGGCTATTTTAGTATAGACTATTTAGTTTTTGACTATTTTAGTTTTTGATTATTTTAGTAGGCTAAAATAGTTGTGTTTGAAAAGAGGATTTTTTGTAGTTGGATGTGATGTTTGTAAGAGAAAAAGTGAAATGATTATAGATTTGATGTAATATTTTGTAGGTGTTTGGGAAGTTGATATTTTAGTAAGCTATTTTAGTTTTTGGCTATTTTAGTAGGCTAAAATTTGTATTTGGGAAGATAATTAGATTTTTTTGTAATTGGATGTAATGTTTGTGAGAGAAAAAGTGAAATGATTATGGGTTTGATGTGACATTTTATTTTATTGGCTATTTTAGCCTATGTTGTCTTATTAACTATTTTAGTCTATTTTGTTTTTTAGTGTTATTTTAGTGAAAAAAAATCCCTAACCCAATTGCCAAACACCCCCTTTATCATGGATGCGGTCAAAGATCTTGTGAAGGAATAGAATTTTTATACAAATTTTTGAAAAATATTTGGAAGTTCTAAAACTTGAGCTCTAAAGGAGCTCTAGGGGTGCCCCCACTATAGGAAATGTGCGATTTAACGACATTTTTTTAACTGCGTTTTTTAAACGCCACATTTTTTAGTATTTAACGACTTTTTTTAAAACGTCGCATTTTGGTTTAATTAAAACGGTACCATTTAACTGATAGAAGACGTTTAAAAACGTCTTCAAATGTTATCCCCCTCTCACGGGCTCTCTCCCTCTTCAAACCCTCATTACCCTTCTTCTCACTGTCACACTCACTCAAATCTGAGAAACACAAATGTATGAATCTCGCTTGCTCGCTCTCTTTAAACCCTTAAAGTGATTTCGATTTCAAAGTTTGGTGATCCAATCTCAGAGTGATTTTGATTTCGTAGAGAAGAAT